GAACACTTATCTTATAAGGACAATTCATTAATCATTAAGGGAAAGATTTAAAACCTTTGTTTAAATCCAAAGGAAGTTGCTTTTTAGAAGACTTAAAGCAAAAGAAGTGAATTTGAATATTCATTAAGAACATTACAATTATAATTTTAATCATTTTCTTATAACTTTATGAATTATATGTGTTTTTTGTTACTATTTAAATAATAATATTGAGATGTCAGAAACAACAGTTATAAATTCATATTTATAGACGAATAATATACTATTAAATTTATAATATAAACAGCGTAAATAGGTTTAGGTCCTAATAATGATTACTAATAGTTTAGTATAATTTAGATTTTCAGTTCATAATAAATATAATGATACATTTAGAACAAAGTTAAGAAGAAAGATATAATTTAAAAATTAAAAAAAATATCCTTAATTTTAGAATAATCTTAAATGAAACAAAGTTAAAACATTGAAATTGAATGATTTTTAAAATTACTCTACTATAATCTTGGTCATATTTTCGTAACCTGTTATTTATTATTTCAATTGATGTTAAAAATATTATAGAGGACTGAAATGGTAAATTAATCATCAATAAGTATTCTAACCCAATAGATTAGAGATCATAATTATATCCATTTCTAAAAATATTCTTAATTAAGTTCTATATGAATTACATTCAAAGTAGCTACTTCCAATAATAATTTAGCATATAAGGATCAGCTATTAATCATTAAGATAAGAACTATGTAATTTTACCTCAAACTGATTTTTTTTAGAAATTAATTAATATCTACACAACGATAATATCAGTCAACTAATTCAATTTTATTAATTGTTATAACATTACAAAATTACCCAAGATTGGATTTCATAAACATAATTGAGAATATTAAGAAATAACAAAATTGTTCTTCCCTATAATTACGAATTTAACCCTACTAAACAATAAATTTTTAAAATTAAGTAAAATTGATTTATATCCATAAAGACTATATTTTCTCTTAAAAGTTCTAACAAAATAATTTCTTATTTAATTTTTGTGAATTTAAATAAAATTTCACATCTCTCACTTCAAAATTTGACCTCGTTATTCAATATTTTTTTTCATTACTAATTGGAACTTCACCTATAGTTAGATTTTATTAATTTATTTGATTTTATAGATATTCTAAACATTGTTTCCTTTAGATAGCTATTTTAATATCAAATTGAATATCAGCCCCTAAAAAATTTTAAATAACACTAATATGCCAAATAAATCAGTCGTTATAAAGAACTCTTAGATAGACTTATGGACAAATGAAAAGTTCCTACCTTTTATTGGATAAGTGAACACTCCTTAAATCCTTTTTATTGGAACCAAATTAACGATCATCATCATTAAAAAATTCATTTTACCACTTCTCCTCTTCTTTTTCTTCCTAATATAGAAATCCTTATTATTAATATTAAATTTATGTCATTTATTTTGTGCTCATTACTTTTGCAAGATTGATTGAATACTTTTATAAGTCATGTAAAAACCGATTTCTATATATTTATTTTCCAAGATTTCTCTACTTTTCTATTTGTTGATAATGATACTAATTAATAAATTCATCATAAAAGTCATAACTTGTAAGATTTTGTTCAGATAGTGCAGGATCATTTAATTCTTAAGATGTGATAAATTGGAAAGCAATTGACTACTCTTCCATTTTATTCCAAACTGTACGAGCAATTTCAAAGTAATTAATTTTATCTAAGTTATCCACATCTATTTTAGTAACCTGTATTTGTTTTTCATTATTATCCTGTTATTGTTTTTCAATATTATTCTGTTATAGTTTTTCATTAATGTGCTGTTTTTCATTTTCATTGTTCTCCTGTTATTTTTTATCATTATTACCTTGTAATTCTTTTTCATTCTTATCTTATTATTGCTTTTCATTATTATCCTATTATACTTATTCATTTTTATCCTATTATACTTCCTGTTATTCATTTTCATTATTATCCAATTATTCTTTTTCATTATTATTTTGTTATAAATAGTTTTTCTATTGAAAATTATACATTTGATTAAGATAGTTAATTTTATAAAACTCATGAAGCATAATTGGGAAATTTTTTAGAAAATTTACTCTCGAATTAATTATGCCAAAGGCTTTCACCATCATTTTGGGCAACACTTAAACTATTATTTCCATCATATATGGAGTTTCTATTATACCATATAAATTTATTTGCTTCATCATCTTTTCATACTTTTCAAAACTCCACAGTTTTGAGAATTTGACCGGCTTAAAGATTCAAGACTTTAAAAATAATGAATACTGGAAAATTAAATAGGGTCTAGTGTTTACTATAATTTAGATTTCATCCAATTGTTTTTCAGATACTCTTGCTTCTTTTTGTTAGAAAGTCCTTATCTAATTGTGGGTTCAAGAAAAAGATCTAAGAGTAAAAAACCTTTTAAAAAATGAAAAAGTGATGAGTATGTAAATGCGGATTTTGTAGAAAGATTGGTAGACTTAACAAGATAGAATTGCTGGGGAAATGTAGAAAATGTTGAGCAGAATTGATGAATTGTAAGAATAAATTTCTCATGAGGCTAATCTCAACAAGCTAGATATATACCTGAAACAACTTGATGAAACAAAAGAACAATTAGATTAATAAATTGTAAATATCAGTGAAATGGGTTAATAGCTGAGACTGCTAACTGACTTTATTAATCATATCAGAAAAGGCTTGATCAGGATGGAGGGGAAAATTAATGAAATGAAGGAATAACTCAAAATCATGGGTAACGATATTAAATTTTTGAGAGGAAAATCTGTTGAATAATTATTTGAAATTAGAAAATGGAAGGTATTGAAAGAAGCGGCACTTAAGAATGCTAAATCCATTTATATACCATTAATAACCAAAGAGATATATCATAAAGATGAAAAGTAAGACGATAAATTAAGTATTTTAATAAATTTAGAACAAATTAATGATATTCAAGGAGAAGTGAATCAGTTTTTATTAGAAGGGAAAGAAACAGTGTTATTAATTCATGGGGTAGCTGGATCTGGCTAAGAAAATAGAAGAACTTATTTGGAAATTACATAATAAAAATATAAAAATTAGAAATCAAATTCTCATACCTGTTTATATCTCCTTACCCTCTTTAAAAATTCCTGTATTTTAAGCGGTAGAGGAAACACTTCATCAAGATGAATAATTAAAAGAGTGCAAAGAGATTTTAGAGAAGTAAGAATTCAAATTGTTATTGTTAATGGATAAGCTATGATGAAATGAAACTAGAGAATATTTAGAAAAATTTATATATGATTAAAAAAGTCAAATAGTATTGGTCACTTGTAACTTTTACCACAAGAAGTGAAATTTTTACGAGCAGTAATTATTCCTTATGGTTTGCACCAGAAAAGAAAGAAAATTTAAAGGAAATTCAATATTATCTAATAAGCTGAATTTTTCTATTGATTCTTCCTCTTCACTGTCTCCCTCTAAGTATATTTTTTATATTTATTGAATGAGAAAATCTTATTCAAATTGGATGTTTGGAAATTGTATTTTTTAACAATTAAGAAAATCAAAGATATTTATTGTGATTTGAGCAATCTCTTTATCATTTGCCCTTTTAGATAACTTGGTTTCTAAACTTTCCAATTAAAAGTGAAAATTTTCAACTTCTTTCTAATATAAATTAACTGATGAAAATTGTAATTACTCAAACTTTTGTATAAATTCTTTTGTACGACATTAAAATCTTTATTAGAATTTGGTTTAAGTTTCTTTTTTATACTTTTCAATTTGTTTAATCGTACCAGAAAAAAAAAATAACTTCTTCAAGTAATTTCTGTAATAGTAGCATCTCTTCATTCAGTCTTAATTTTTTTAACTTTACCACCTTCATTATGAATGATAGGTAAGTTTTCTAGCATTCATAACTAGAAAAATTAAATTTGTTTTCATTTTAATTAAGTTACAATTTTATTTTCACTTTTTCCTATTTATTAATCATTCAATTAAATTTATCCAATTTAAAGACATTTGTCATTGTCTATTCTATCAACTCTATCCTGTCTTATCTAGTCTTTTGGGAATTATTACTCTTCTTAAATTAATCTTATAACAGTTTTTAACTAGATTAGCTCTTCATTAATTAACATTTTTATCCAAAATTTTCCAATGTTTGAATCACACTTTCAGTTTACAAGATTAATTAATTCCATATTTTGATCGATAAACGTTTTCCAAAATCTTCAATTTGCTTAAATTGAGATAAAAAACAACAATATTTTTCTTTTTCCAATTTTAATTGTGATGAATTTAATTTGTCATCCATCACCTGTTATAAGGTTTCATCGACTTGAAGATTTTCAAGAATTTACATTCTCACAAAAGAAGAAGAAGGATTTTCTTTGATGTCTCCAAATTCCTTCTCAATCAACTCTAAATCTTTTCCATCTTATTCAATCAGCTTTTCATTTATACTTTATTTAAATATGAGGTAGTTTATTCCTTTTTACTTTGATAATCTATAATCAAAGTCCTCTTATTTTGTGATTTCAATATTTTCAATTCAATTTGATGCGAGGCCTAAAAATTAGAATTTTCTTTTAGAATTCTTTTTGGAAAATCTTCAACTATATTTAGCAGAAACTC